CAGTTCCTGGGGCTGTGGCTGCACTGCTGTACCCAGGCTCCGAACCTGGAGCCGTGTTTGGACTCTACATTGGCTGCCAGCTGTATGGGTGCTAGACCTGCATAAATACTATGGAGAAAATGCACAAACAATGGGGCTAGCATGTGCTTCTGGGAAGAGAGAGCTTCTTTGTTAAGCTGGGTTATGTTATCTCCAGCTTGGGCTGGATCAGGCACACTTTCATAATAACAAATCAACTACCCAAGCTTTTAGGGGCTTCTGATGGGTCCAGTTCATAGCCAATTGATCCCTTTCCCAGGTTAGACTGACAGGCTCTATGGTCACCATTTTGATTCCTGTCACACATGTCTTTTCCTCTCCCTGGTCCTCACTTACAGTTGGGTACCAGAGGGTAGGCAGTGCCCCTGGGGAGATTTCCTGTCTGCCCCAAGGAGATTCTCATGGGCACCAGTCCTCTGGAGTGTTGAATGAGTCTGCTTATACTATAGCTTCTTAGTGAAGCAATCAGGCTCATGCCCCCCAGTCCACTGGGCTCAACAATGTCTGATTCCCTTTGCTCTCTTCCTTTATTAATAACTAGCTAACTACCTATGTTAACACTACGGTTAGTGAAAAGTGAACAAAAGATAAGAGACCAAGATAATATTCAGCTGGATCATAGCATCAGCTTTATCTGTTTATATTAAAATATTATATCATTATATATTTTACTTATTCTATCATTAATATTAATTTACTTATTTTGTTTGTGCTTGTAAAAACCTAGTTTCTGTAAAAAAATCAGTGTTCCACATAATCAAACCAGACAAATAAATACATTAATAAATAAACACATAAATAAATAAAAGACATCTTGTGTAATATATTTGTTTGTATAGTACGTGTCTGTGTATAAGCCAGCTGCCTAGATTCAATAGGCTTACCCCAGTCCTTACTACTGTTTGGTATACGGACACACTTTGTTTATTTTCTTCTGTTTTTTTTCTATGAAAAATGAAGATTTTAAATCTAGATGCATCAAGAATTGTACAGAATGCAGAAAACATTTAATCTATCAGGTATCTGATCAGTGAAAATTTAAAAATTCCCATCAGAATGTTAATAATATATGTCAGGGAAGATAAAATGTTGAGAACCCTTAATAGTTACTCTGTGGAAATATCTAGGTTATAAATTAGTGCTGATAGATTAGCTACATCTTACAGAGACACATTCCATTTCAGTTAAAAGGATTTGGAGTGTTTCTTGGCCCTGGAAACTTTAATCCAATAGTTAATATTGATAGTAACAATCATCTGGAGATAAAAAAATGCCAGTCATTAACAACATGTTTAATTTAGATATAACTCAGGTATTAAGCTTGTGATTTTGTTTGTTAAGAGGATAGATTTATACGGTATTTTTAAAAAAATCATAAAACAGTTCATCCGGGGACTTTAAAATTTCCCAGAAACAATATTAAATAATACAATATTTTAATTAAAACAATAAATATGAGAAACACAGTGCATGTAATAAGACAAAGGTTCAAGTCTTTACTACTCAACCAAAAAGTAAATTTTAGGACATGATGTATGTAAAAGTGCTTTTAACACTGTATTTGATATATTTGCTGACATTTGCCTTCTCTATAACCTCTGGCATTTGAGTCCAAGTTAATCATACAATGTCCCAGCGATATGGCAACAAAATTAAACTTGACTCTCCATCGCCTTTACAAATCCCCCCGCCATGAAAAAAAAACCCTCCTATCACCTGCCAGTTCGTAGCCTCCCTCCCTCTATCTTCATCCTGCTGACAGTAAATCCTCTCACCAGCTAATTGAACAGATGTACCCAGTGCTATTTCCCGAAGATCTGCAAAGCTGGACTTTGATGGACAGCAGAAAGTTGCAGAATGGAAAAACAAAAACCTTTTAACTGAGAGCACTGCTTTGTTCTGCTTAGAACATTAAGGTCACTCCAGCTCACTCTGACTGTGGAAATCTTAATTTTTACACAACCAATTTACTTGCAGCTGTCATTCTTTCCAATATTAAAGATCAGCTCTTCAAGTGTGGGGAATTGGGGGGCGGGAGCCGGCAGGCAATGGAGGAGCTTGTTGCAAACTAAAAACAGCAAAAACAAGTAAAATCTGGCTTGGCTCTCAAGTACAAAAAGTTATTTTCAAAGCCTATAAATTATGACATAGCGATTAACATGTAATTTAAATATATTTAAACAACAATTATATCACATTCCCAGCCCAGCTAATTGGCCTCGCAGATGTTCCCTTGTAGCTGCATTGCCCTTCCAGGGGGAAAAGAATGAGGTGCTTTTTATCATGGAAAACAGAAAAAAAATACAAACAAAAAAACCAAGTGGAAAAAAAGAAATGGAAACAGAACCGTAAAAGGCAGCCAGTAACCCTACAAAACAATGAATGCTAAAGGGACTTTGCTTAGCACTTTTTTCTATTTTAATGCTAGAAAAAGCATTTGAAACTAGAAAAAGTATGATGACACCCCTATTACTGTGATGGTATCTGGCAGTCTATCCAGACAGAGCTGGCAGGTTGCTGACAGAAAGACTTGTCAAAGCAGGGACAGAGGATGCATTCTAACATGGCAGGGCCTCACTTCCTGTCCTGGAACAGACTAAGTGCAAGAGGTCTAGTTATTTTTAATATAACGCCTTTGCAACTAAAGGCGGTCCAGCCCAGATAATGAATATAGATAATTAAGTATTTCCTGGTGAAGAATGACTTGTGAATTATTCCTTTGATCATTTCTCTCTCAAGTTTTTTTAAAAATGTAAAATGTGTAGAAGTCGAGGCTGTTTTCTTTAGCTATGAATCTAGTCTAACATGACGTAGTACAGCAACTCTTGCAGAGTAAGAGGTCAAAGGAATCCTGGTAATTACTAATATTTTGTTACACCTTGTCTTCTAACATGTAATCATAGTATTGAAATAAATTCATTTCCTTCTTGCCTTTTCTTCTAATAATATCAGGTAATGTTTGCTAGTAGAGTGGAAATTGCAAAGGGCCAGTGATCATGTCTCTCTTAGTGCATCCTGATCTCTCCAGCATCTACCACAGTACCTGTGCTTTCACTGTAATATGTGTTTGTTAAATGTTTAGTAAATAATGAGGGTTTAATGATAGGGCAAATCCAAGGTTTGTAATATAATAAAGTTCTACCACTCAATTGTCATTTTTTTATACCATCCCTTATTTTATGTATCGCTATACTTTTTAGAAAATTCCTTTCTCAAAACATATGAACAATATATTGATTTCATATCTTTCTAAAAGATTACAAAATATATTTAATTTAAGGTAATGTGGAGAGCAAGTAAGCATTTTATAATGCTTCTCTTTGAGTACCTTTGACATTTTAATTGTTTGACTTTAAAAATCCAATTTAACAGGTGTAAATATTTAAATTTTATATATTCTCTACATTTGTGCATAGCTTACGAACTTCATTTATAAACATTAACTTACTTTGTTTACACTAAGAATAAGCTAGAGAGACCAAGAATAAAACTGAAGGTCTGACTTGTTTCATGATTGACCACATGGCTTGTAATTGGGCCTTGAGCTCAGAGATTCTAGCGAATCATGAGGGAGTCTGCCTGTTGAATGTACAATACCACCTCCTATGCATTGCATTTTTACTGTATCTCTAACTTACCATGTCAAAAGCTTCAATGTGATGTCAAGTTATGTTATCAGAGAAGGAAATAGACAAGTATTTTCTATGCCATCATGTAAGTGACTCAGTTATGGGGAAAATTAAAATGTCCAGAACTCAGGAGTATAAACCTTGTCCTTTGTTTAATCCAATAGACTAAGTAAAGAAATTGTACTATCCTGTTGTTATTAATTTGCATTAAACAGTTCATCTCCATGAGATCATATTCTTCTTAGATTGTTTTATGAGTCTCTAAATTGTAAAAACATTGACCTGAAATAATATTTACCTATACATGTTTCAAGACGTTGTCTTTAGGTTTATTTTACTTTTCTCTGTTCACTCAAAGACAGAATATAGAGAATACAAGCTTTATAACAGCAACTGTTTTTATTTTCCATATTATCTACAGTGCCTAGAAAAGTGCCTGACATATAGACAGTAGGTTCTCAAAAATGTGTTTAAGGAATAATTTATATATGTAATTTTTTGATTAAAAAACAAAGTTGCTGTTTATACAGTCATGTATATACTTACTTGAAGGAATGCTGCTTTAAATGTTTTATCATATTTTTATACCTACTTTTACTAAGCCCATAAGCTGGATGGAATATAAAGCTGTAAGAATAGTTTTTTTTAATGAAAATCTAATTTAACTGATTTTCAATAAATGGAACTAATGTATGTAAAACATGTTTCCAGGAAAGAAATTGATTTTCCAAATTTTCTTCTGTTTCTTTATTTAAAAAAAAATGAGACTGAAAAGAAAATAATATGTGCCTTCTTGTAAGAAGAGGTTAACCAGTTGATCCTTTGCTGAAATGGTGAAAAATAAATGCAGCTTGGTAGAAAAAAATTATCCCAAGCAAATTGAAATCCACTTCTCTCTCCTTTGAGATAAGTGTCTTCTTGTAAGAGAAAAGTCAGTGCTATGGCATATGGCCATTTCAGTCATTTAATATTAACAAAGAACACTGTTCCTTGTTTTCAATTGCGGTTCATCATTTATTGTTTTTCCTTTTCTTCTAGGGTTAATCAGAGAAATATTAATTGGCAACCTGATTTTTAATCCATTAAAAATTTACCTTTTCTATATACTTTTCTTTTTCAGGGAGGAATTAAAGTGTTTAATTTCCTCACAATGCATAAACTAACTCTCTTATAGTCAGAATGCATAAAAGTTTACCATTTAGCAAACTTCACTGTTGTGCATGGTTTTCTCTCTGGTTCATACAACTCATGTGGCTTTTCTTTTTCTTTCTTTTTTTTCCCATTCATATTACCTCTTATTATATCCATCATTCCATTTTTCTTTCCTATTAGAGTGAAATTGGACACAGCCCTCCTCCCGCCTACACCCCCATGTCAGGAGTAAGTATTTCACAATCAATCTTCATCTTTTAGGATTTTTGGTCTTTGCTTACCATGCTTCCTCTCTCTTGTCTCCCCATTATTTCCTCATTTTGCCTTTGCCAACAGTGAGTTAAGAATTTGCTGTAGATTGTGTAGCTGCCTTTGTAGACATATTTTATTTCAGTAGATAAACCAAAATTGAGACAGCATGCATCAACAGTAGCTATCGATTTTATTCGGGCTTATAAGTTATACTTCTAGGCAAGGAAACTGGTTATCTTTCCTTCCGTAACTATAGGTTGTGTGCTAGAAAGTCAACATCTCAGTGACGATTCTCCAAATACAGGAGACTGAAAAATCGTGTTAACCACAGAACAGAATGCAGTAAGGAAATATCACCCCTCAAATGGCGTCACTGTCTTTCTGTTCTTAATGGCAACTGTCTATAATTAACGATGTTGCTATTTGTCATAAAAATTCACTTTGAACGTTGTATCAAAAATGGGTAATTGTGGGAAAAAAGTGAAATGTGTTTTATTAGGTCATGTGGTAGATGCTTAGTAAAATTAAAATACATGTTTCCAAATTATTTATCCATGATTTAATTTTTAAGAAAAATTGAAATTGTAGGTGTTAGTCTATAACTCAAACCCGTTATGCATTAGAGAAAATAAGCTAAAAAAATAAATCTGACTTTTCTCTGAAATACAAGTTTCCACATGCTTTTGGTTTTTAACATTCATTTCTACAACTATTCCTAACAATAACTTTTGTCCAAATGTGTCTCTACATTTGACAGAACCAGTTTGTGTACCGAGATGGGGGTTTTGCTGCGGAACAGGGAGTGCCTGCCCCCTACAGAGCCACGACCAGCACCATCCCAGAAGCCCCAGTTGCTCAGGGGGCCACTGCTGAGATGTTCGATGACACCTGTTGCAATGGCACCCTACGCAAGCCAGTGCCACCTCATGTCCAAGAAGATAGCAGCACCCAGAGGTACAGTGCTGACCCCACAGTGTTTGCCTCAGAGCGGAGCCCACGAGGAGAACTGGATGAAGAAGGTTACATGACCCCTATGCGAGACAAGCCCAAACAAGGTACATACAATGTGTTCAGAAATGATTGCCATTCTACATTTTCATCCTTCAAAATCAGCAAAGTATAGAAGGGATATTGCCAGGCCACTGGACAATGCAACATCTGTGACCTAGAAAAGACCTTGGCTGCTGCCATTCAGGCTATACTGTCTGAATCAGCAGCAACTACAGCAGTTACGGGGATTTTTTTTAAGAAATCAGAATTCTCAGGCTCCGCCTGGATGGGGAATTTTAACAAGATCCCCCAGGTATTTTTTTAACACAATTAAGTCTGAAAAGCACTAACCTGAACATATCTTTATGGAAATATTTAAATGAGGTAGCATATCACAAGATTTCAGAACTATTGTTTTATTGGATTTATTGTAGAGGTCATAAATAACTGAATTGTTGGCATAAGTGTCTGAAGCTTTGAATGACACCAATAAAAGATTTGGTTGATTCATTAAAATGGTGTCATTTAAATAACCTAGTTTATTATAGGAAATTATGATTTCTTCTCTGATACGTTTCAAAACTTAAAATTCTAACCTTGCATATACTATATGTATACACCATCACATATGGAAAATATTCATAATTAATGGTTTTACAAAGCACAACAATAACATTGCAGTTGTTCTCTCTTATCCACTGTTTTGCTTTCCAGGGTTTTAATTACCCATGGACTGAAGATATTAAATGGAAAATTTCTGAAATAAAGAATTCATAGGTTTTAAAGTGTATGCAATTCTGAGCGGCGAGATGACATACCATGCCCTACACACTGCCTGCACCTTAGTTACTTAGTAGCTGTATAGGTTACCAGATTAGCTGTCACTGTATCATAGTGCTTGTGTTCAAGTCATCCTTAATTTACTGCATAACTTCTGCAAAGCGCAAGAGTAGTGACGCTGGCAAATTGAATGCCAAAGGAAAGCCATGGAATGCTTTGTTTAAGTGAAAAGTTATGTATATATAGGAAAAAAATGGTATATGCAGGGTTCTGTACTAGCCACACTTTCAGGGATCCATTGGGGGTCATGGAATATACCCCCAATGGATGAGGGGGACTAGTCTACAAAATTAGTGGTAGAGATGTTAAACACCAAAATTAAGTAACATTTCAATTTTGAAAAAGCCCCTTTCCTTCTATGTCAATCATATCATAAAAAGGAGAAAATGGATGTTACTAAAAACTGATAATCGTGTCTCAGCATCTTTAGTGTCAACAGTAAACTATACTTTAAGACTCTGCATGAAGGCCTATTATCTGTAACAGATGGTTATATTCATTTAGGGATCCTTAAATACATATTGTCAATAGCCTATTAAAATAGATACACCTAGATATATAGATGTGTTCCTTTTACATAATGTTTATGTTATAAGATACGATGCTTACATATAGTAGTGACACAAATGTAAGCTTTCAAAAGATTTGACAGATCCCCCTGGAAGTGGAATATGCTCTGGGAAGAGTCTCAACTCAACCATGGAGTTACTACTCTATGTATAACCGCATGGCTACACAAGTTTGAATTAGGATAATAACTAGATTCCATTGAGAAAAGGTACATAAATCTTCAAAGAGAAAGGCAAATCAGCCATATAGAGTCATTGTAGAGCATCCCCAAATGTTGCCTCTGAATCATGAGATCACATTTCTGTAAAAGTATGTTCTACCCTAGCTTAGTTCTCAGAGAGCAGAGCATCTTAGTATAGACATTTCTATACTTCCAAATAAGAAGTTCAGGAATCTTATAAGAGAAAAACAATTTCGGTTTCCTTATAAGTTTAGTCATATATATTTTTTTAAATGATAGTAGTGTTGTGCCCCTTCTGAATTAAAACATTCTATGAAGGGTAAAGTTCACCCTATGCCCGTAGGGGAAATAATGAAAACAGTACAGTAGAACAAGATGATGACTTGGTAGGAGTTAGAAGGTCTGTATTCTAGGTCATTGCTAATTGTATCTTTCATACATTATTTAATCTCAGTTTTCCCTCTATAGAGCTGGAAGAATACAGCTTGCACTTCCTTTTTCACAAGATTGATGCCAGGATGAAATGATAGTGCCTTGTAAATTGTTGAACTGCAATTCATGTATATGATGATAAGATAGTCATTACTCCCTTTAAACTGGCACATGATGTTAAATACTTAACTCTATCCAGTAGGCCTATATCCAGAAAAAAATTTCCTTGAGTGTAGATTTTTCTCTCCACATCTCAAGCTAAGTATAGGAGATCAAAATTTTGTTTCAGAATAGTAGCATCTGAACTAACAAAATAGGAAGAGCTAAAATGCCATTTTTGTACACACACACACACACACACACACACACACTAAAAGAGAGAACAGAAATACGGTCTAACACATATTTGGATGCATGTCTATATATAGTCATAGAAGGGAGGAAATTAATTTGAGGAGAATAACATTAATTAGCAGAATTTTTTAAAAATCGGGCCAATACCTATTTTAGATAAATGTATTACATTGAATCATACAAAGGAGCCACTATATGACCATTTAAACCTACAAAATAGTGATATTTCATATAATTCAAACTAATAGTTTGCTGTTTTGTGATTATCTTTAGCCATTGGAAATTGCTATAATTATACTATATTGTGTAGCATATGTATTGTCAAGAAAGTCACTTTAGAAGCATGTTAGATGTTTACCAGTTCTGTTATTTAAGTTTTTTTTCCTTAGATATTTCCTTCCCTATGTATAAAGGGAGAATATCTATAATTAAATCCTTGTTACCTATACAGATACCACAGTACACCGTACAAACTAAAAATGCTATTCTTTCACTTCATCTATTCATCTTAGACATTTTGATTGTCCAATATCCTTTAAAAACTCTGATTTCTTCAATTTAAAGGCAATTTAATCCTGATAAGTTGTCTTATCTTCCAACATGAGATACTGACTTTTAGAAAAGAGAAACATTTAATAACTGGTTCCATATGTAGGAGAGACAAACACAATTAAGAAGGAAAAAGAACACTCTAGGGGACAAGAAGGCTGATATCAGCCCCGTTGTTTCTTTGTTTTGTCCTTAACATTTTTGACCTACTTACTCCTTTTTTTTTTTAATGACAGCAGTAATCAACAAAATAGTTTTTATGATAATTCATGGTTTTATTGTCCTGAACAAAAAAGCCGACCATTCTGTATAACCTTGCTCCGATTAACATTTTCCAGAAAATAGATGTTAACTGATATTTTTACATTTCATCAGAATATCTGAACCCTGTAGAGGAGAACCCTTTTGTTTCTCGGAGAAAAAACGGAGACCTTCAAGCTTTGGATAATCCTGAATATCACAACGCTTCCACCGGTCCACCCAAGGCAGAGGATGAGTATGTGAATGAGCCACTGTACCTCAACACGTTTGCCAACGCCTTGGGGAACACTGAGTACCTGAAGAACAACGTACTGTCTGTGCCAGAGAAGGCCAAGAAAGCATTCGACAACCCCGACTACTGGAACCACAGCCTGCCGCCTCGGAGCACTCTTCAGCACCCAGACTACCTGCAGGAGTACAGCACAAAATATTTTTATAAACAAAATGGACGGATCCGGCCTATCGTGGCAGAGAATCCCGAATACCTCTCTGAGTTCTCGCTGAAGCCAGGCACTGTGCTGCCTCCTCCGCCCTACAGACACCGAAATACTGTGGTGTAAACTCAACAGTGGTTTTAAGGTGGAAAGACATGCCCGTTCCAATTTCCCCGCCACCTCTCTTTCGCTCTCGGTCTTCCTTCTACTCCCAAGGCCAGTAGTTTTGAACCTTCCCAGGGGAAGATATAGAGATACAATGGTAGTTATGTGCTTATGTAACTTGAACACTAGAAGGAACGACTGAAAGAGAAAGACAGGAAAAACCACACTGTTTCTTCATTTCTCTATATGTGTTGGTCAGGAAATAGGAACAGCTAGAGAAGGACCAGCAACTAGAAGGCAGTACTGCCTGCTGTCAAACTAGTTCTTAACTTTGTTTCTCTTTCTTTTTTTAATTTCTATTTTTTTTAAATGCAAAATCTTGAAAGATCCATGCTATCAGTTCCTATCTACAGGAACCGATATGTACATTTTCAGCATCCCTGGAAATCCTACTAAACTTTCCATTAGAATAAATACAAGGATAGCCTTTTCTATAACATGATAGTAACTGAGAATGAGAATCCAATTTCTTTCTCCAGTAATTTCTATCCTGACAAGGGAAGAATGGCTAACTCTGCTTTCATGATTTTTGAATCTACATCAAAGTTATAACTATTACGTTTGGAAGGCTTTCTTTTTTTTTCTTCTCTCTCTCTCTCTCTCTTCTCCCCTCTTTGGTCTATTCCTTCATATTACTTTCTCTCCTAGTTTTGGCTCTAATTTTTAACAGCAAAGAATTTTCTCATCAAAACTTCTTATGTGTTGCTGTAAATTGACAGAATTTTAAAACAGAAGATTTTATTATAGTGAAATGGCCACTATTTTAAAATGCAGTCTTTAAAATGAGAAAGGGAGGCCAAGATTTTAATCAAATATAGAATCAAATCTAACTTTTGTGTTTTACACTATAGAATATCTACCACTCCCATTCCTTCATGTCCTTCAATGTTTTCTTCTCTTCCATAAGTGACAGTACTTGATAGGCAGTTGGTAATGTTGAGGTAGAAGGAAAATAAGTGACAGCTTTGTGTGGTTCATGAAAACTACTGACATTTTAGGGGTGACCCAAGGGGGAAATCAACCCATCGAACTGGAAGAAACACACTGGATTGGGTATGTCTACCTGGCAGATACTCAGAAATGTGGTTTGCACTTAAACTATAATATTATTTGTTCTCTTTCTGAACTCCATTTTGGATTTTGAATGAAGCAATATGGAAGCAACCAGCAAAATAACTAATTTAAGTACTTTTTTTTTTAAAGAAAGTGCTAAAATAAAGAAAGACTGTAGAAATACCAAACCAAGCAAATTAAGACTTTGGGACAGTATCTAAGGATTATGATGAGAGGGCCAGCACATTATGTACATGTGGTATCCCATTCACTACGCAAAGAGAGTTGTCCAGTTTGTATACTGCATATTAAGGAATGCAAGTAAGGATTGGCTTGAATTCCTTGGAATTTCTAGTATGAGACTTTATTTATATTAATTGGAAGGTAACTCTTTGCGCACAAATTGGTAAAATAAAAAGTAAACATTCAAAGCTTACAGATAGGTCCTTGGATCAAAAGTTGTAAATAAACACGAAAATCCTCTCATGTAATTATTTTAATATCCAACATACTGATAATCTTTTGATACTTTATATAACTCTTTTTCTTCAAACACAGCACCCTAGTTCTAGAACAAACTTTATTAAGTATTGTTTTAAGTGAATACTGCTGAGTTAATATGAGCAACAGGAACAAATGGTAGGAATGAGTCTCCAGGAAAAGGAAACCTCAGGTCAGTAATTAGGAAAATTGGCTATAAGTCTCTCTTTTCTAGAAAAGTCTGCCCCAAGTCATTTAGATCTTTAAAAAATATTTTTCCTAATTTTAACATATTGGGATGAAATTTAAGTCTATCACCTAAAAGAAAGCAATTAGACTAAAAATCTTGAATGATAAAGCAGTATAGTGGGGGACAAAATGCAAAGGAATCTACATTTCTGCTTATTTTGAAAAAGTACATTCATCCAAATCTTCAACTTATTTTTTCAACTAATATTTATTTAGAGTCTACTAAAAGCACTGTGTTATGTGGGGAATACCCAGATAAATGTAATGTTATTCCTAACTTAAAATTTTTAGTCTAGATTTATTTGGAATGACACTTGAATTTCTTCATAAATTCAAAGAATAAGATTGCATTAACTTTTTGTGAGCAGTCATCCTAAAATTAGCTGTTAATTAAAAGATCTCCAATGAACTCATTTGGGACATGAATGGAAGATCCTACAAGTTACTGAAGTTGACAAATAAGATAGTTTCAATGTTATCATCTAAGCACAAATAGGTCTAGGAGGATACTGCATCACTAGCTTGTGGCCTCTCTGGATTCTAACTGGACCATTAAATCAGCAGTTTATGTTGGTCTTTGGCCAAGAACATTGGAGGCATTTGGATTGCTTTTGTCCTAAGTTGTGAGAAGTGAAGTAAGCTAAAAGCAAAAAAGCAAGGAGGATGTTTGTGAGATCCTTTCTAGTAAAGTTCAACCATACATTTCCTGAGAATAATTCAGGGACCCACAGCCTAATAGCTCAGACCTCTCTCATCTATTCAGAGGGATCTTCAGGAAAGGGGTTCTCCTATCAGTACTTATGAAAATTTGGATATAAGCCTCTTCTTCTGGATAAATCTGCACCAGTTCAGCACTAATAGAGTTCTTGTTGGATATTAGAACTTGATTTTTTTTCTTCTGATTTACAATATTCAAATATTTTTTATTGGGATATGGAAAGCACAACTATTTATTTCAAAGAAGGAAAGAAAAATAAAATTTTTACTGTTAAGGTAATAGAAATGTATTAAGTGAATGTAATCTCCTTCATCCTAAGAACACAAGACACTTCCGCATCAGGTAATCTTCCACTAATAACTGGAGATAGATGCAAGTATAATAATCCAAAAGGCCCCAAAATGTTTCACAAGAGCTCCACTTTATTTTTCCTTTTGAATGATTTTTATAGTACATACTTGATTTCAGTTGATTAAGGGTTTCTCTTGTGTTTTATTTGTCCCCCTAGGAAAACGTATTTCAGAGTGTATGAGAAGGAGAAAAAAGGATTTAATTTGTTCCAAAGAATAAATTATTCAATCCAGTGGAGTGAAATTTTTAAATGCCAATTAAAGCCTGAAAAGTGCATTGGAATATCATATTCCAGAGGCTAGATGTATCAGTACAAATATGCAGAATCAATTAAGTAAATTTGAAGAAAGTTAATATTAAAATTATACAGATTATATTTTTTAAATCACCAAATTTTGTAGTTTCTACCTATCTTGGGAAATCCTATTTTCAAGTATGGGAAAGAATGTATAATTAAAAGGTTGTTTAAAGAAGTAGTTCTTAGGCAGGTGAGAAAGACATCCTCTAAACCAGGGTAGACCCAAAACCACAGAGCACCCTGACCCATGTAAAGGTGCTTGGACTTCTGAGCAGCAATTTTTTTCCCCAAGTATTAGTAGCACAATTTAAAATGAGAGTTCTTTCTCAAGTAATAATCTTGAAATAGCATAAAACATGCAATACTCATATGAAAAGGTACAAAGTAAAATAAGAGATTTTTTCCTTAGTAGATCAGGAAGAAAGGCTGAATACCTGTAGCTTGAGAGAAGAAATAGTATTCTTGTAAGTGTTAGAATGTGTGTGTTAATAGTTTCTAAAGGCAGGACATGGCATGAAGATCATGAATATTCCTAATGCCAAGGACAAGACCTGTCAAAAGACTGTGAGGTTCTGCTGCTAGATGAAGTTGGAGGGGCTATCGACGTGCTTTTGGAAGTGTCAAAAGTGAAAAAAAAAAGTTGTTTAAGCCAGACAGGGAAGGATGTAAATACAAGTTTTTCTAGAGCTATCTAACCTTTATTTCAAAACTTGAATTATTCATCCATCTATAAATGTTGATTAACTAGTGTATGTAGTTCATAAGGTAATAGAAATGGTGATTATGAAAGCATGTATATAACTGGGCAGAACCATGATAACGCTCACTGTAAGATGTAGATTTAGTTAGGTTATCAGACATTAAATGATTTTAATATTATTAAATAAATTAAACTAGAAAGTTAACAACAAAATGTAATGTAATAAAATAAAATGCAGGATATAAATGTGTAGGATGGATTTTGCATAGTAAAAAATGTTTGCCATTTAAAATTGTTATTCGTTAGGTTTAGCTGAAAGTAGGAAGATTAAAAGAGCTGGTTCCACTTGTGAAAACTTGATTTAATGTACTATGGTTATTTTTTTCTTACACTTTTATTCCTTTACAATTTTTAAATGGATTGAATATAAAAAGAATTTTTTTTTAATTTGTTTTGCAAACACCACCTTGAAGAGTTTAACAGGCCAATATGTTACTTAAGACTAAGTTAAGAGGCGTTCAGAATGAAGTCAGGGAAATGTAAATGTTCTATTACCTTATGCAGAGACAAAGAATGAGTGGTGCCATTCAGCAAACAAAACACATTTAATTTGTGAAAGCTCCCTTCTTTTTCCATACCTCCTGTTTCCAAAAACAAACAAAGAATTCATTAACATTATTCTTGTAAGTAAAGGCTAAAACAAGCATTTCAAACTGCTGTATCTCCATTATTTTGGACTCTAGATATTAGAATGATGATTTTTAATAAGGCAAATAATAAATCTGGGTGTATAAGCTGCTAGTTGTTAAAAACCAGATAAATTCATTCACTTCTGCATATGCTAGGGACAGAGGATTCTGCTGTGCTGCTTTATGTACATGGATTTTGAAGGACAACCATGTGCCCATGTGGACCCTTAAGGCAGACTCATGTCTTCTAAGTGCCATTTGCTTAAGAAAGAATAACATTATACAGAGAAAGACTGGGTATAATTTTAAAATACTAGGGTCAGTGGAGACTTTGATATTATAGATATCACAGTGGGACTAGCCTTTATACTTCTGGGTAGAAGTCATACAATTTTCCAATCCCAGAGAGGGCTTTGCAAGAGTAATTCTCTCTACAGTTGCAAACATGATGCTGTTATGGGCAGTGTTGAGTCAGGAAAACCCTGTGTTTGTGTGGACAAATGGCTTTTAACACCATGGGCTGCTTTGTTCTGTTAATTAACAAAAAGTCCCCAAGAAATAGCAGAAATTTTAGACACTCTGTTTGAGTCTTCCTGATTTTGTAAAGGCGCAAGCTGTAGAATGTGTCACTTTTGCAGACCCCTGCCTCACCTCTTCCCAGCCAGGTGATATTTTGGGCAGAAGAAAACACTTCTCTAGTTGTGATCTGAAAAGATTCAAAGTCCCAATTTCACGGGGGTATTCACATGCTTCCCCTGGAAAATACTCTTTTGACAGTCA